AGACAAAACGCTTTTTTGTTTTTTACGTCGAGAAGACAAGAACCAGTTGGCTGCTACCTTTCTATTAGTTTATTAGTTTACTCCTATATGGTTCAGTCCAAAAGGCCCAACGCCATCAGGCTGCTACTTTTTATTACTTTTCCAGTGATACGTTCACACTATAATTTTTGGCCGGCAGAGAATGTTGTTCTTTTATAAGGTTTTTTTTTTTGGGTACAAAGAAGAGAAGAAGATTCAAACTATAAGTTATGAGTTAGTATGAAATTGTGTTGGCATGTCCTAGAACTTTGTATTAGTCTGGAAGTGTCAATTAGCTTTAAGGTTGAAACAAAATTAATGTCTCTGATTTCCAGAAACTGCAAGATTGAAACATTTCAGCAATCCCCGAATTCTATAATTGTGACTTAACACGTATGAGTTATTTGATCTAAAGAGTAAGACATGTCATTTTTCATGCATTCACATTGGAAACGTTTTTTTTTTATTTATTTATAAAAGTCTGATATGATTTTATTTCATTGATTTGCTTTCCTTTTTCTTCACTTCCTATCAAGCCTCTTCTTTTGAGTCAAGTCTTGAGTGCTGCAAATCAAGTAACTATCAGATACTCTATTAAAAATTAATTGTGATATTCTTGAAACTTGCTTCAATAATATCAAGGGTCTTTAAAGAGTAATATTGTGACAAAAACCTTCTTGCTTTGGCTCATACCTTTTTCTCTTCTTCTTTTTTTAATGCGGAAAGAGGAAAACTACAAGCATAAAACCACGAGGGCACGCATGCCCCAATAGGTTGAAAAAGAAAGGGAATAAACAGTTCAGAGGCAGCCCCGACTCCCAAAGCTTGGAAGGATTTAGCCCATGGCCCATGCTAGCAACAGCATCAGCCGTGAATTTAGCCTCACGGAAGACATGACTGAAAGAGCAAGAATTACAAAAGGAGCTGATAAGCACTATATCTTTAATCAATATATTGATACTCCACGGGGCCAAGGCTTTCTGATTAACGCAATCAATAATAAGCTTAGAATCTCCTTCAACAAGAACTTTTATGCCACCCTCTATGAGTTGCATACGCAAGGCCATCCCGTAAAGTAGTACATTCTGCCACAGAAATGGTATTGTCACCAATGTTCTTAGCAATAGCCAATAAAACATGACCATCAGAATCTTGAATAACAAAACCAGTAGCCATTGAACCATTCCGGATAGAACCATCAAAGTTCAATTTGACCCATCCACTTTGGGGGTGGTTTCCATTTAATATGAATAGGTGTTTTAAGCCCCTCCACATCCTTGAAATTTTGGTGCCAATAGTCCAAACCAACCTGCCGAGCCACAATAAGCACACGAACATGATATGGGTTGATGTCTTTGAAAATCATATTATTCCTAGATTCCCAGATCTGCCAACATAACAGCAAAGCTTTGGATAGGATGTCAGGGCCTCTAGAGGTAGTAGTAGAAGTGAGTGTACCCAACCAGGTGAGAAAGTCAAAATTTGGAGAAGAAAGCGCAGGGACCAGGTTGGTACAACTCCAAACACTTTGAGCAAAGGGACATGTTGAGAAGAGGTGATTAATGGTTTCCCTGTGAGAATTACATAGGGGCACTCAGGGTTAATCTGGGGGAGAAAGCGATGTAAATGGTTTCGAACTTGAAGCCTTTTCCTGATAAGTAACCATGAAATTTTTTTGACTTTAGGGGGAATAGTGAGACCTCACATTTTCTTAAAAGAGCTGCTTGAGGGTGATAAGAAACATCCTGCACTTGCACATTATAAGCACTTTTAATAGAAAAAGTTTCATTAGGGTTAGGGCCCCAAATTAATTGATCTTCCAGAAGGGTTAAAGGAAGAAGGATAGAAATAATTTTGTCTATGATATCCTCATCAACAACTTCTTAGAGCTTGCTTGCATTCCAATGTTGAGCAATTAAAAAATTAGCAACAACCAAATTAAGATTAAGAGAGATTCGTTGGGTAATAGGAATTAGATCAATGAGGGGGAAAGGAAAAACCCAATGGGCAGTCCAAAAAGGAATGGACTTACCATTTCCCACAATCCACCTGATTCCCATGTTAAGAACAGTTCTTGCATCTAAAATTGCTTGCCACGCTGAGAACTGAGAGGACTTCTTTTATTGAGAGCTAAAAAAATTTCTTTTTGCAAATATTTGATTCTGACAACTTGCCAACTCAAGATCTAATCTCAGTAGCATTCTAAAATGGCTTTATGTTGAATTTGCAGAATGCTACTGAGATTAGATCTTGAGTTGGCTGCAACATTGTTAGAGAAATACGCAGTCGACTTATGTAAATTAACTTTCTAACCAGACACTTCAGAGAAAGAGAGTAGCAACTTATTAATGTTTCTAGCAGCCATGGTGGTGGCTTTGGCAAAAATTAAATAGTCATCCACAAAAACTAGATTAGAAATACAAAAATCTCTTGGCGAGGACAATAAGCCCATATTGGACTTGGACGAAGAGGCTAAAAAATTGCAGTACTTGATAAAAGGCTCCATGCATAAGATAAAAATATAAGGGGAGAGGGGGTCTCCTTGTCTAATACCCCTAGAAGGGGTGAAGTAGCCATGAGGGGAGCCATTAACAAGAATAGAAAACGAGGTGCTAGTGATAATGCATATGTCGTGGACGTGGCATCTTTTATGGGGATTTCTCGCACTTTCAATGTCGCTGACTTGTTTGAGTTTCATTTGGATGATGAGCTGCTGTATCCAGATGATAACTGGGGGATGAGTTCTTTCCAAGAAAGGAAGACTAGCATAGGGCTGGAAGAGGACGTTAGGAGGCTTCACAATAACATTTAGTTATTTTACTTATCTTAGTTATTTTAATTATTGTTCGCGCTAAATCTGAACAGATAAGAGTTTAGGCTAACTTACAAGTATGCTGATGGTTGAGGATTGTAGTGACCTTCTTCCGTGATGTCCGAAGGTTTGAGCAGGGGCATGATCCGAATTGAGGAGGGGATACCGGTGTGGTACCTACCGAAGGCACTCCGATACCAAAGTTAATAACTAAGAGCGATTCTATTGACAGTGGAAGCACTAGTCAAGTCAGAAAGTCTTACCACTTGGCTGGGCCAAGGGGCTCTATTTATAGAGAGCATATGTGATGCTCTTAGCACTTAGTTTCGATGTGGGATTCGTGGGAGTGTCTTCGGAGATCGACATGTGCTCTGACAGGTTCCGGCAGAAGTTCTGAGGTAATCTGACAGAAATGGATTGACGTGATGGTTAGTTGCTCAGCAGACCATGCCGAAGGTTAGCGAATGGACTGATGGTGCGTAATCGACCCCCTGAATCGGTACAGCGTGCCGAACGCACATTCGGTATGGCCCGGTTGAGCTGGTCTCGGCTTTGAGGGTGTTCCAGGTGTCACGACGTGAGTGGGTGGTCAGATATGGTACAAACAATTATTTTAATAGTTCTTTCATTAAGCCACAAATCATTGATATATATCTTTTATTGCATACAAATTATGAGTATGCAAAGTACTTCTTCATGTTAAGAACTACATTGTTAAGAACGACATGAAAAAAAAAAAGTGACACGACAAAATAAAAGGAATGAAATTTTTTTAAATACCCTAATATGTTTCTCATTTTAACATTTCTTTTGTTTATCCAACTTTGTTGTTGTTCATTAACTAAGGATCATTCTTCTTTACATTAGTAAATTGTATGGTATTACATTTAATTACATGTTATCATAACATGGATGAGCTTCTGATTCGGCAGGGTTGAACTGAGCCTAATTTGACTTAAATGAGCTGAACCGTAGATCGGGCCAGAATTTCAAATCCTGAGCCTAGGCCTTATTCAACCCAAAAGCAAACCGAGCTGATAGAGCCTAAGCTATGAATCGAGCTAGGCTTTGGCCCATCGGGCATGAGCCAGCCCACTTCAACCCACAGGCCAATGGTGAAATGTGCCTAACCCCTAAGCCCTATCCTCATATCTCGCTAACAACCCTTATTTTGAAGTTGTCTCTTTTCAGTCTTAGAGCATCCACAATGAACTCCCTAAACCATCTCTTTAGACAAATTTTAGGGAGGAATTTGAAAAATACAACTTTAACAATGCTCCTTATCCATCTCCTAAAATAGGGAGACTTCTAGAAGCTCCTAAATTTGAGAAGAGAGAAAGAATTCCTAGTGGCTTCCGATAATTTAATGCTTCTTTATTTTATGAGTATTTTAAACCTTTAATTAATGCTAACTATTTTTTTTATAGAGATTGACTAATTAAAAAAAATAAATAAATAAAGTTATAGCATATATGACTCCCTAAACTAGGGAGTATCATTGGAGTTCAAATTGTATATAGAGCTCCTAAAATAATTTGTGTGTATTTTTAGCTAAATTTTAACGAAAAAATATAGGGAGGATGATTGGTAATTGTGGAAGAAAATATAATGGATAACACTTACCACATTTTTATCCTATATTTTTATACCATATGATGTAGTATGTCCATATCATATGCCACATCAATTAAATGAATGAAGTGTATTTTAATAAATAAAATTAGAAAAAAAGAAACTAGTATTTTACATGATATAATATGTACATATCAGTTGCCACATCATATGGTATGAAAATGTGATATAAAAAATATGGTAAAACTAGTATTATTCATAAGGAATTAAGTCGCTTGAATTGAATTGTTGAGCTTATCATGAAATTGGATTATCACATTCCCATTGTTGAATGAGCCTTACAATGGGCCCCACCGCCGAAGAAATTCACGCATGGTAGTGTTTCGTCTATGTGACGCTGCCATTGACCTGCCTTTGTATTCCACTACCTGTTTATTATATTTTTGTCTTAATTCGTTAACCTGCACTTTCAGTCCACTTATTGTTTCTCCTTTCTATTAATTTAGCACAAATGTTGGGCAAGAAAAGAGTATATTGATTAAGATGTGGGAATAAGAGACACAAACACAAAAAATACTATAAGTGTCTGTGAGTACAAGTCCAAAGCAAAAAAAGTCTCATAGTCATATCCATACAAACTAGCTAGCAAGTTTTCTCTTCCTTGGCTATTTCTTTGTTGCTTCTCCCTCCCTTTCCAGGAACTTGACACACCCAGAAGACCACAGATATATCTGGATATCTAAATAGCAAGCTAACCAACTTCAAGTTATCAACCTCACATCAGACAGAGGGAGAGTGATCATCGATCGATCCGTCGATAGCCATGGGAAATTGTTATGCAGCTCCTGTGACTAACCATAGCCCGTCTACCTCAGGTATATATATTTACATAGCCCTCTTGATTGATGCCTTTAATTGATCAATTAATTAATTGTGTGTATACATATATATGCAGCAACATTTAGAAACAATAGCAAGCAAAATGGATTGGCAGGAATCAAAAAGGCTGCCGGGAATAGTAGTGGCAAAACAAGTAGTGGAATAACCCCAAAAAATGCTAGCAAGGCATTAGGCAAAGGCAACAGCAATAATAATATTGAAGAAAAAAGTGCAGCTCCTGATGCAGCAGCTCCAAGGGAAAGTGTGGAAACTGAGGTACCAAAGTTGAAAGAGTTTAGTTTAGCTGAGCTGAAGAAGTGCACTCGAGATTTCAGACCAGACACAATACTGGGTGAGGGAGGTTTCGGTAGGGTTTTCAAGGGATGGGTAAACGAGGACACCTATGCTCCGTCCCGGGTCGGCATCGGCATGGCCGTTGCCGTCAAGAAGTCCAACCCCGATAGCTATCAAGGGCTCCAAGAATGGCAGGCAAGTTTTTATTAATTAATTTATTTCATTAGGGATGATGATGATAATATGGATACATATTTTATATAAAGCTATATATATATATATATATTTGGCTACTAGCTAGGGTTAATTTGGCCGGCCAAGGAAAACTAAGCAGTACATGGGAGTTTATTTTCTTTTTCTCTTGACCATTATAAAATAACACAAGGCCATAATAATTGACTCAAGAAGTCAATGTTGTTGACTAGTATAAAACCCTAGCTAATATATATTAGTTCATCGAGCGCGTATTACTTCAATGATTGCATGCTTTAATTTTAAGGTAGCAAATGGGTCATGATTAACATTGTGCATTGGTGTGGTGTGGTGTGCAGGCGGAGGTGAATTTCTTGGGGAAGTATCGTCATCCAAACCTTGTTAGGCTGCTGGGATATTGCTGCGAAGAAAATCAATTCCTTCTTGTTTATGAATATATGCAAAAGGGAAGCTTGGAAAACCACCTTTTCAGAAGTAAGTAAATGGCCTTAACTTGTAGATCAAATGTTTCAGGTTCGAATCCCCACAACATCATAGTTGTGTTGTGTGTATGAGAAATCTATTTATCCTTTTGTTTAAACTATCTGTTCTACTTTAAATGTAAAAAAAAAAAAAAAAGAATAATAACATTAATTTAATTCAACACACGTTGCACATGGGCATGCAAGCTTTTCTTCTATTGCATTTTCATTTGGAAAGTAAAAAAAATTGCTAGTATTAATAATAACACAATTTTGCTTTTTTTGTTGATGCATGAATTCTGCAGAAGGTCAAGAACCACTCGGATGGGAATTAAGACTTAAGATAGCAATTGGAGCTGCACGAGGTCTTGCTTTTTTGCACACCTCAGAAAAAGTCATCTACCGTGACTTTAAGGCTTCCAATATTTTGCTGGATCCGGTACCCACTCTTTGTCATACTTCGTTTTTAATTTAATTTAATTTTTGTTACTTTTGTTTTGGTTGATTATTGATTTTTTTTTTTCTCTTTCTTGTTGGGAATTATTCAAAACTAGGCCTACAATGCAAAACTTTCAGATTTTGGACTGGCAAAGGTGGGCCCAATAAATGGCAACTCCCACGTAACCACACGCATTATAGGAACTTATGGATATGCAGCTCCGGAATATGTCGCAACTGGTAATATCATAACTTCTTCCATAAACTTTCTTAACCATTTGAGTTATAAGTTTTTTTCGAAGGAAAAGCTAGTATAAGTTTTACTTCAAAATTTTCCTAACTAGCAATAAGGCAGTCACTTTTATTACCAGACCAAGATTTACTCAATCTATTGGAGAGAGGTGGAGAGAGGTCTCAATTGACTTTCATTTTGCAAACTTCACGTTTTTTTCCCTACTTCCTTGATTCAATGGGAAAAGGAAACTCTATGTCGGCTTTGTCTTGGTCAACAATAGACGCTTTCCACACGAATACATTCAGACTTTAGGGATCACCTGATCTTATGGGTTAAGCAAGTCTTCTATTCTATTGCTGCTGGCCAAGTAAAAGTATTCAATTTTGTGACTTGACTTTCAAATGATTTTTAGTTGTACGAAAATGTCATGAAACTGTCAACATTCACTCTCTTACTTTGACAATTTTCACACGAAAACCTTATCTATATGGGGCCGGTTTTGTGCACAAGGCAGCATGGTTGCCTGCCTATCCCAAATTTTTTTAAAAATAAAAATTACCTACATACGTCATAGCTCGCTCTCTCTCTCTCTCTCTCTTCTTGGGTGAGCAACAACATCTTCTTATTCTCATCGTCAATAAAAAGTATTATTCTCATTCTCTCTTCTTTTATATATAATTATAGTTTTAATTTAAAGTCGAGTATTCTCGGGATTAACATTAGGGATGAATTATAATTTGGGGATTTTGTTAAAATTAATTAAGGTTTTGATTTTAGTAATTTTGTTGAGATATTTAATTTGTTGGTTTTTTTTATTATTATTTAAATTCTTTCTATATAAAAAAAAATATTGGTATGTATAGAGATGCATTTTAAGGTAAGGTTTATTACTTCCCCTGTGTATCTTTTATGTTTATTAATGAAATTCACTCATTCTGTTGAGTTTAATATGTAAGTTTTCCCCATCTAACTTTCGAATCTTGAATCCGCCATATGATATGGTGTCTTGTCCACCATTACAAAATTCACCCAACTTCCTAATATGTTAATCCAAATTCATACCTATTTCTACTCTTAAACTTATTTATTTTCAACAATTTTTAGATTAAAATAATCCAAATTCAAACTTCTTGGTAATATGTGTGTGTATATATATATATATATAAAGAGAGGAATGTGGGTGTAGTAGGGAGATATATATATATATATATATATGGGGTGGAGTTATTTTTGTAATTCAGTAAATTCGTTTATTTATTTATTATTATACCCTCATTATTTTAGATTGTATGGTATTCTAATTTTTTTTTTTTAAACATGGGCATTCTCGAAGTTTTTGAATGTTTTATTTTTATACAAAAGGCATGCTGCTTTTATATATGTAGATATAGATTAAAATCTCTCTCAAGTAGTTGGGCACGATATACTTCAACGTTAGGTATTGTACCTTAGTGGTTGATCGAAAACGAATAAATTGACTTTTGTTTCCTTCTTGCCCCATGTCAACCCGAAATTCTACGTACGTCAAGACTTTTTAAGTAACTATTTTTTACAGAACTTTTCTTGGTCCCGAAATATGCGACAAGGAATAATTTCATCCATATGCATAATTAAGATAGGAAATTAAGAAAAGAGATCATCTTCCTTAGTGTGCCTAACCAAATCTCATCACGCCCTCTTGCAAATAAAGGCTAATTATCAATTTTAATTTATCAGAGGCTGATTATAATTTAACAGCATGGAATGCCTATTGCCCTTATATTGCTTAATATTGTGTCTTTGGTGTAGTTATTTTCTCTAATATTTGTCCTAATTATTTTTCATCAAATCTTTCACGTGGTTTTTGGTTGTTGTCATCATCTCCGCTGTATACTCTTATAATGTTTGTTTAATAAAGCATTTTTCCCTAACAACAACAAAATTTTAATTATTTTAACTAACACTTGCACGAAAATTGTCAGGTCACTTGTACGTAAAAAGCGACGTGTACGGTTTTGGTGTGGTATTATTGGAGATGCTAACAGGCTTAAGAGCCCTTGACAACAATCGACCCTCTCGTGAGCACAGTTTGGTGGATTGGTTAAGGCCTTCTCTTCACAAGAAGAAGGAGCTAAAGAAAATAATGGATCCAGGGCTCGGAGATCAATACCCATTAAAAGCTGCCTGCCAAGCAGCCGAGCTCATTCTAAAATGCCTAGAATCTGATCCCAAAAACAGACCCTCCATGGAGGAAGTTCTCGTAACTCTAGAAAAGATAAATGCCATTAAGGAAAAGCCAAAAACTGCAAAACCCAATGGCAGAGGACGGCCAGATGTACGTTCATCACCATCACCCCATCATTATAACCATCATCTTCATAGGTCTCCAAACTTTGGTCCACGAGGAATGTAGTGCCAGTGCCAAGTCCAAATTTGTATCTTGTAATAAACTTGTATTTTTATTTTTTCTTTCTGGGGACTTTGTATATGGACCTGTGGACATTGAAATTTTGGCGAAAAAAAAATTCACTATTTTTTGTCAACGGTGAGAAATTCAAGATTTGACTAGTCAAAGTTAACCCATACAACTCTTGGATCTCACATAAAATACACGTGGCGCGCATGACTCACAAAGACAAAGATGAGTGCTGGAGATGACAGATGTCAACATCTTAGAGCTCCATCAACAAATTAAATTATTTGCCAAAAATGTCATAACAATTGCCCCTTTGTTAGGCCATATAGGTCCTGCCTGGCCCAGTCCATTCAACTCAAGGCCCCGTTATTGGGTAGGATGTAGGCCGACCTCTCTTAGCTGGCCCAGTCCGGCCCATTTTACAGGCCTAGTTTCCCCGGGTGATTTTGTTTTTGGACAGTTCACTTGGACTCGAAGATGAGGATTAGGAGGGTTATCCAAATTTAATCACTCGCACCTTGCGCCACACGGATCACCGACCCTTTCCACTTCCCACTTCCCACAGGCGGATTATCTCTCAACTAAATCCAATCCAACCTCGCAGAGGCAGAGCAGCAATGGCGGCCATAAGCTCTGTTGTAGGAACTGGAAGCGTGCCCCAAATCCAAAATCGTAGTGGCCTTGCCCCTTTCACCCCTTTACATATTTCCTTATTTTCTCCAACCAGGTATTTTCTTCTTTCTAATTTCAACTTATTAATTCTGTCCTCCTTAGAACAAGTATGATGCTTTTAAGAAGTTTTCTTGTTTTTGATTTTGAATTTCATTTGGTTTGGGCTAGCAAGCCAAGCCAAGTTTGTTACGTTCAGCAAAACCAAATCCCTTGTACATGTTAGATTGTTTGGAATGAACATTATGCTTTTGTTCCACCCCGGTTGGCTAATCGAACCCAGAAAAGAAAAAAAATTTGAGGCGAAGTTAGTTGGTAGCAATGATCACACACCTGCACTGCACTTTGTTAAAAAGCTCCTAAACGATTATGAATATGCCAAGTTTGGGTTCTCCTTTGAAAATCAAAGTATGTGTGAATGGGAAAATGATTAGTCAAAGATGACGGTTCAGAGTCAGGAGTAGGTTGGGGAGATAGTTTCAAATCTAAAGAGTTGAGTTTTTGTGGGAATGGAGAGAAAATCATATTGATAGTTTTAATTTCATGTCCTTAGTTTCCTTTTCTTCATAAAATTTCATACAAGGGTAACTGAGTATTATTTTTAAAATATAAAAAATATTAAATAAGTCAAACAATATGAGTAGAATATTTTCAAGTTGTATTTCATTTTCCAAATTGAGGTATTTATAATATAAGGATGTAACCCTAGTAGGGTCAAACTAGGAAAAAAGATAAAATCCTAATTATACAATATTTGTACAAAAAGAAAGAAATATAGTCCTAATAAACTAGGAAATAAATCTCTTAATTAAGTTAGGATCTCGCTAACACTCTCCCCCAAGTTGGAGCAAAGATGTCACGCATGCTCAAGTTGTCAAGCGAGTTGAGAAAGACTGTAGTAGACACGGCTTTTATAAGAACATCTGCCAGTTGATACTCGGATGATATAAACGTTAAAGAAATAATTTCAACATCCAACTTCTCTTTAACAAAATGTCGATCAACCTCTACGTGCTTTGTACGATCATGTTGCACAGGGTTATGCACAATTGCAATTGCAGCTTTATTATCACAATACAAATCCTTGGGTTTTTGGGGTCCAAACCCAATATCTCTCAGAATCTTCTCATCCAAAGTAACTCACACACACCTTGAACTATCCCATGGTACTCGGCCTCGACACTAGACCTAGACACTATTTTTTTTCTTTTTACTCCACCAAGTAACAAAATTACCACCAACAAATGTGAAATACCTAGACGTAGAACGTCTATCAATAATTGAACCAGCCCAATCAACATCCGTATACCCTTCCATATCTGTATGACCATACTTGTAAAACATTAACCCCTTGCCAAGAGTTACTTTTAAATACCTCAAAATGCACATCACAACACTCATATGATCTTCACTAGGAGAATGCATAAACTGACTCACTACACTCACTGCATATGCAATATCAGGACGTGTATAATTTAAATAAATCAATTCCTCCACAAGTCGTTGATAACGCTCTTTATTTGTAGGGACTTAATCAGGATACAACCCCAACCTATGATTTTATTCACTAGGGGTATCATTTGGTTTACAATCTAACATTCCAGTCTCTACAAGTAAATCTAAAATATACTTTCTTTGAGACAGAAAGATACCATGTTTAGATCTAGCAACTTCAATCTCGAGAAAGTACTTCAAATCACCCGATGCATATGACTTAGACAAACGATGAGTTGACACATAATGGCTAATGAGATATTTAGATTTGGCATGTATATATATAAGGAGAATATTATACTTTAGGTTTCCTACGAGTGGTTCGTGGGGGTAACTGATAAGTTGACACAAGTAGATCATTAGAAATTATCTCACTTGATTCACTATCACGAATAGATTGGGGCATTGGCAAAGCAGAGGGCATCGACCTCATCTATACAAGAATCACTATCACTATTTTCATATATAGGCGACTGGTCACTTGCTTCAATGAGACCGGTCGTTTCGACACCGAGAGCACCTGCTTCATCTCCAAATATGGGCGATCAGTCGTTTTTTCACAGAGACCACATGTTTCATCTTCATATATAGGCGACCAGTCGCTTGCTTCATTGTGACTGGTCATTTCCTTCTCGAGGGCAGTATCTTCAAACACATTATTCTCCAATTCAAGTCCAAGATTCTCTAATCCAAGACTCTCCAATTCACTCCCCCTCTCCCCCTGAATTGGAGAGGAGGGAGAGACATAATAGGGCACTTCTTTATGGAAAGTCACATCCAAAGTAAAATGCACCTTCTGGGTAGGTGAATGATAGCACTTATAACCCTTCTGAGTAAAAGAGTAACCAATAAAGACACATCGCAGAGCACAAGGATCAAGTTTACTCCGTTGATGAGAGTAGACATGAACATAGGTAGCACACCCAAACTTATGGGGCAACTTGGAGACGGAGATGGGGGAAACATGGTTATCAAACACATAATGCGGAGTCTTGAAATCAAGAACCCAGCTAGGCGTACGATTAATCAAATAAGCATTAGACTTAAAAACATGGCCCTAAAGAGGATGAGGAACAGACATATCCAATAAGAGTGAGCAGGCAACTTCAAGCAATTGTCGGTTCTTTCTTTCAGACACACCATTTTGTTGAGGAGTAAAAGGGGTTGTCGTTTGGTGAATAATACCTTGAGCACGGAAGAAAGACGCCAAAGTATTATTCACATATTGGCCTCCGTTGTCAGTCCAGAAGACTTTGACCCGAGCATAAAACTGAGTAGACACCATAGTACAAAACTCTGGAAGGATGTAAGCAACATCATGTTTAATTTTCAGCAAGAAAACCCAAGGGAGTCTGGTACAATCATCAATAAATGTGACGAACCAACGAAATCCTTTCTAAGTAACACGAGCCGGACCCCACACATCAGAATGCACTAATTCGAAAGGATTTACAGCTTTACTGTCACTCAAAGAAAACACAGTGTTATGGCTCTTGGCCAAAATACATGTCTCATACTTAAAATTGAACTCATCACAAAAGCAGAATAAAGATAAAAACAAATGCTTAAGGTAGCCAAATGATGGGTGTCCCAAGCGATGATGCCATAACCAAATTTGCTGTTTGTCTTTGACATTGCAACTTTGAACAATATAAACGACATGATCAGGAACTGGGGCAAAAGGCAATGTCAAATAATATAAACCCCTTATTCGTTTACCATGCCCAATTGTCTGGTGAGTCTTGAGATCCTGAAAAGTGCAATGTGTATGACAGAAAGTAGCAGAAGCATTAAGTGTATCAAGTAATCGATCAACAGATAACAAATTACAATGGATATTGAGAACTAATAACGCACGAGGCAAAGACAGAGTATGAGTGAGAGAGGTTGTGTCCTCACTAGTAATTGGAAAGGGCAAGCCATTAGCACTAGTTATGTATGGGTCACGGGTGTTACTAGACACCTCATCAAAAAAATTTAGAATCATAAGTCATATGATCATAAGCACCAGTGTCAATTATCCAAGTATTGAAACCAGTATCTGAAATAGAGTCAGAAACATACAATTTTGCAGAAGAAGCAGCAACAACACCGACAATAGAGTTATCACCCATAATTGCAACAGAAACTCAACAGATCACAGCAGAATATACAACGGAACACAACAGAGGCACAAATATGGTAAATGCACAGAGACAGTAGGGGCACGAAAGCGACAGAGTACACAACAGAACACAGCAAATACACAAATACGGCAGATGCACGAAGACAAGAATGACACGAACACTACAGCACAACACACAAACCCAGGAGGGCACACACGGCACATATAGAAAAAAAATATGGGGTTAGAACACGAGTGGACACAACACACAGATCACAAGAAAAGTAGGCTCTGATGCCAAGTCAAATAATATGGGTAGAATATTTTCAGGTTGTATTTCATTCTCCAAAATGAGGTATTTATAATATTATGATGTAACCCTAGTAGGGGTCAAACTAGGAAAAAAGATAAAATCATAATTACATAATATCTGTATAAAAGGAAAGAAATATAGTCCTAATAAACTATGAAATAAATCTCCTAATTAAGTTAGGATCTCTCTAACAAAATATGGGGTTAACCGAGTGAAAAATAGTTTCAAATCTGAAGCGAAAAGAAAAAGAATCCGAAATAAGGACGAGGGTTACTGCCTCGGTAGTATTAAGCATGGATAACACAATTGTTAATACATGTTAAGTTAACAGATAGCATAGTAGAAATTGGAGATGACTGTTTTTGACAAAACGTGATAACGTAATTCGAAATCTACACAGTGTTAGCAGGCATGTAGTTGGGATTCTTTCTACCCAGTATGGCTCTCTAATGTTTTAACAAGAGATGTAAACTTTGATTCTTCAATTCAATAAATTCCGCAGTTTTGACAAAAAAATAAATAAATATGTTTCTCATTTTAACATTTCTTTTGTTTATCCAACTTTGTTGTTGATAATTAATTAAGGATCATTATTCTTTACATTAGTCAATTGTATGGTATTACAATTAATTACATATTATCATAACATAAATGAGCTTTTCTTCAAGTCTGATTGCGCATGGCTGAATTGAGTCTAATTTGACTTAAATGGACTAAACTGTAGATCAGGCTAGAATTTCAAATCCTTGGTCTAGGCCTTATTTAACCCAAAAGCAGACCGAGCTGATGGAGCCTAAGCTATGAATCGAGCCAGGCTTTGGTCCATCGGGCATGAGCTAACCCCATATCTTTCTAACAACCCTTATTTTAAAGCTGTCTGTTTTCAGTATTAGAGCATCCACAATGGACTCTCTAAATCGTCTTCTTTAAGCACCAGTGTCAATTATCCAAGTATTGAAACCAGTATCTGAAATAGAGTCAGAAACATACAATTTTGCAGAAGAAGCAGCAACAACACCGACAATAGAGTTATCACCCATAATTGCAACAGAAACTCAACAGATCACAGCAGAATATACAACGGAACACAACAGAGGCACAAATATGGTAAATGCACAGAGACAGTAGGGGCACGAAAGCGACAGAGTACACAACAGAACACAGCAAATACACAAATACGGCAGATGCACGAAGACAAGAATGACACGAACACTACAGCACAACACACAAACCCAGGAGGGCACACACGGCACATATAGAAAAAAAATATGGGGTTAGAACACGAGTGGACACAACACACAGATCACAAGAAAAGTAGGCTCTGATGCCAAGTCAAATAATATGGGTAGAATATTTTCAGGTTGTATTTCATTCTCCAAAATGAGGTATTTATAATATTATGATGTAACCCTAGTAGGGGTCAAACTAGGAAAAAAGATAAAATCATAATTACATAATATCTGTATAAAAGGAAAGAAATATAGTCCTAATAAACTATGAAATAAATCTCCTAATTAAGTTAGGATCTCTCTAACAAAATATGGGGTTAACCGAGTGAAAAATAGTTTCAAATCTGAAGCGAAAAGAAAAAGAATCCGAAATAAGGACGAGGGTTACTGCCTCGGTAGTATTAAGCATGGATAACACAATTGTTAATACATGTTAAGTTAACAGATAGCATAGTAGAAATTGGAGATGACTGTTTTTGACAAAACGTGATAACGTAATTCGAAATCTACACAGTGTTAGCAGGCATGTAGTTGGGATTCTTTCTACCCAGTATGGCTCTCTAATGTTTTAACAAGAGATGTAAACTTTGATTCTTCAATTCAATAAATTCCGCAGTTTTGACAAAAAAATAAATAAATATGTTTCTCATTTTAACATTTCTTTTGTTTATCCAACTTTGTTGTTGATAATTAATTAAGGATCATTATTCTTTACATTAGTCAATTGTATGGTATTACAATTAATTACATATTATCATAACATAAATGAGCTTTTCTTCAAGTCTGATTGCGCATGGCTGAATTGAGTCTAATTTGACTTAAATGGACTAAACTGTAGATCAGGCTAGAATTTCAAATCCTTGGTCTAGGCCTTATTTAACCCAAAAGCAGACCGAGCTGATGGAGCCTAAGCTATGAATCGAGCCAGGCTTTGGTCCATCGGGCATGAGCTAACCCCATATCTTTCTAACAACCCTTATTTTAAAGCTGTCTGTTTTCAGTATTAGAGCATCCACAATGGACTCTCTAAATCGTCTTCTTAGAAAAATTTTAGGGAGAAATTGGAAAAATACAACTTCAACCATGCTCTCTATCCATCTCCTAAAATATGGAGATTTCTAAGAGCTCCTAAATCTGATAAGAGAGAAAGGATTCCTAATGGCTTCCGATAATTTAATACTTTTTTATTTTATGAGTATTTTAAACCTTTAATTAATACTAACTTTTTTTTTTTTTTTTTTATAGAGATTGATCAATTAAAAAAGAGTTATAGCATTTATGACTCCCTAAACTAAGGAGTATGATTTTATTTTATTTTGGTCAAAAAATTAAGGAGTATGATTGAAGTTCAAATTTTATAGAGAGCTCCTAAAATAATTTTTGTATATTTTTAGCTAAATTTTAATTAAAAATTAGGGAGCATGATTGCTAATTGTGGAAGAAAACTTAATGGATAAGCAATTAAGTAGCTTGAATTTAATTGTTGAGCTTATCATAAAATTAGATTATCACATTCTCATTGTTGAATGAGCCCTACAATGGGCCCCACTGCTGAAGAAATTCACGTATGGTAGTGATTCGTCTATGCGACGCTGCCATTGACCTGCCTTTGTATTCCACCACTTGTTTATTATATTTTGGGAGACTTTGGAAAAACACAAAGGAGAGAGAAAATTTGTAAAAGAAGCCAAAATGGACAAAATTGCCCTTATTTATTTTTGGATTTCCTAAGGAATCCTTTACATTTGCATGTCTTTGATTTGAAAGTTGAGAGGTTTTTCTGTTTTTTTTTTGAAAAAGCTTTGGCTTTTTCCAAAAGTGAATTTTTTTTTTGGCTAAAACCTAAATTGTCTTAATTTCGTTAACCTGCGCTTTCAGTCCACCCTTTGTTTCTCCTTTCTAATAATTTAGCACAAACGTTGGGCAAGAAAGAGTATATTCAAGGGCGGATCTATTACTAGGCTTGAGTGGGCTCCAACCTAGGGCAAGATTTTTAAATATTAAATATAGTTAAGTTTATTCCTACTCTAATAAATATTAGTCCACTACATTAAATAAATATAATAAACTAATAATAGCCCAATTTAAGTAGAGTAAATAATAGCTTTATAATAAGCCCACCCCTAAAGCATATAGGAAATAATAAACATCAATCCAAACCAATATAAATTTGATTAGAAGTAGAACTCACGCTAATGCTCTACCAACTTGACATATTCTAATCGTACTGATATTGGGCTACACCCATAGAGAGCATTTTCAGCTATGAAACATGTTAAGACTGTACTTCGCAACAAGATGGAGGATGAGTATCTCGCAGATTCCCTCATTGTCTACATTGAGAAAAAGCTTTCTGTGGATGTTGATTCAGATTCAATAATCAAACATTTTGATACACTCAAAGAGAGAAGGGTTCCACTTCACTAGGTAAGCTCTTTAAATTTTTTTTGCAATCAAACATATTTTTTTGAATTTGGACAATGTGTTTGATTTGATATTTGTTTATATTTTGTACTTTTTTGTGTTATATTTGCTTGTAATGTGACTTTTATTTATAAAATTTTATTTACATTTTTGTTTCATGAGAAAAAAAGCTTATATATAATATATCTCCTCTAAAAATATATATATATATTTAGCCTAACCCTATAAAAATTCTTGAATCCGCCATTGAGTATATTGATTAAGACATGGGAATAAGAGAGTGAGCGACACAAACACAAAAAATAGTATGAGTGTGTATGTCTGTGAGTACAAGTTCAAAGCAAAAAAAATCTTGTACTGGCAAGTTTTCTCTTCCTTGGCTATTTCTTTGTTGCTTCTCCCTCCCTTTCCAGGAACTTGACACACCCAGAAGACCACAGAAATATCTGGATATCTAAATAGCAAGCTAACCAACTTCAAGATATCAACCTCACATCAGACAGAGGGAGAGTGATCATCGATCGATCCGTCGATCGCCATGGGAAATTGTTATGCAGCTCCTGTGAATAACCATAGCTCGTCTACCCGAGGTATATATATATATTTACATAGCCCTCTTGATTGATGCCTTTAATTGATCAATTAATTAATTGTGTGTATACATATATATGCAGCAACATCTAGAAACAATAGCAAGCAAAATGGATTGGCAGGAATCAAAAAGGCTGCTGGGAATAGTAGTGGCAAAACAAGTAGCGGAATAACCCCAAAAAATGCTAGCAAGGCAATAGGCAAAGGCAACAGCAATAATAATATTGAAGAAAGTGCAGCTCCTGATGCAGCAGCTCCAAGTGAAAGTGTGGAAACTAAAGTACCAAAGTCGAAAGAGTTTAGTTTAGCAGAGCTGAAGAAGTGCACTCGACGTTTCAGACCAGACATAATAGTGGGTGTGGGAGGTTCCGGTAGGGTTTTCAAGGGATGGGTAAACAAGGACACCTATGCTCTGTCCCGGTTCGGCATTGGCATGGCCGTTGCCGTCAAGAAGTCCAACCCCGATAGCTATCGAGGCCTCCAAGAATGGCAGGCAAGTTTTTATTAATTAATTTATTTCATTAGGGATCATGATGATAATGTGGATGCATATTTTATGGTAGCTGATTTTCCCACTCTTTTTTTCTCCACTTATACTCCCTTTTATTTTTTAATATTTTTTAGCTGATTTTCCCACTCTTTTTTTCTCCACTTACCCTTCCCTTTTATTTTTTAATATTTTTTAATTAATTTTTGTTCTTTTTTGTTCTTTCTCTTTCTTATTTTATCCTTGGTGACATGGCAAGTGAAATACCCATTTTGGTGTTGATGTGTGAAAAAAATAATACATAATTCTTTAAAAATAATATTTTTAAACCAAAAAAGATAATATCCCAAGCCCCAGCCACGCTCTTTCTCTTCTCCCTTAGAGCATGTCCACCGCTGCACCAAACCTGGGCAAAAGGCCCCCCTGGCAGCCCATTTCCAGCTCCAGCGCATAGCAATGAGCCTGTGCAAATGGTGGGTCCCACCAGCCTGGGCAAGCCCACGGGCTAATCTTGCCTGGGCACCAAAACTAGGGCTGCTGACGTCAACAGCTGATTTTCAATTTTTTTTTACTGTTGGACCCACTAGCCCACATTACCCAATGATTACAAGCCATGTGGCTTCTTCTGGAGCCTCCGATCAAAAAATCTTGCACAATCCAACGGTTGTCCAATTTTTGGCTTAAAAAAATATCAAAATCAAAAAATATCAAAAATTTTTTAAAAAAATATCAAAAAATTCTGGAAATTTTTTCTATACATACCTACCAATATTATTCACTTTCCACACCAATTTAATTTCAAAATTTTATCGGAAAATGTTATCTTGATTTTTAGGTGAGGATTTTATGATAAATATTAACACTTGGGAATTGAAAATCTTATCCGAAAAGCTTATCAAAATCAATG